GAAGGAAAGATCTTTTTAGACTTTTTCGTTCTCGCACGCTTTACGTCCCACTTGTATCATACGCCATATTGGAATTTGTCACGTGATCTGGTAAGGCACAGGGTGACCAGTAATGCTAGTGCCCAGACTCTTTTCTGATGAAATTTTGAACGCCTGGTACATTTGTGAAGCCCACGAAAACAAAACTATATTCGGAAAATTATAAGCATGTTTGGGAGCGTTTTTCGATCAAAAAACAGTCAATGGACCACAAAAAACATTAGTAGAAGGCAGGTCATCTTAAAAATGGTATAACATGGGGAAAAAAACACGAATTATGCGGGATTATGCGCGATTTGGTAAATTATGCGGAAAGGGGGCAATTATGCGCGTCTGCATCCGCGCATAATTCCGACATGCCTGTACAGTGAATGAAAAACTACCTTTACATGGTGGGTTACTGCTTTCTTTTTCATCATTTCCAGTTGACACTACAATTTAAAAATTTTTGATAAATATAACTGATTATTATGCACTATTATTTTAGATTATCCTCCTTTTCATTGCTATGCAAACAGCCAAGATACATGTCATTACTTGATAACAAACAGCAGTTTATGCTGCTCTTCAACACAGGATTCAGTTAAATATTACATGTAAATAATTCATTCATTCATATACAGTAGTATCAGAAATTGTAAAATATGAAGATACAATACTAAATACTTAAATTAAGCTTAGTAATATATTTTAAAATTTGTCAGCATACCCTCTTTTGGAGTTCCACAAGAAAAACATGTTTGYCGTCTTCTGGATGAAAAATTCTGTGTTCCACACTGCAGAGAAAGATAAAAMACATCAGCACAAGWTTTTAMAACAGGTTTTATCAAGCTAAAACCAGTCAGGACAATATGGACTAAAAATCCATACTTTCTGCATCAAAACCTGTTATTTTACCAGATTGAAACCAGTTTAAAACCAGTTATAATGTCTAAGAAAGTCTACCTTTTCACAAAACCAGTCCTTATCTTGTGCATTTTTTGGTCTGCTATAATCTGCACCAATGGAGAACCCTTGGATAAGCAAACGACCCTGAAAATACAGCCAGAATAYTATATATCTTCAGCTTTCATAAGGGAAGAGAAAAGTTTTGTTTTGATTTACTTTTATCTGGTCCATCCATTGCTTGGCTGTTTTCACATCATAAAACTCAACAAAACCGAAGCCTCTAGTGTAACCTAGAACAAATGACAGAAAAATGATAACAAAATAAACTAACAATGTAGAAAGAGTGGGAGGAGGAAGAGAAATTGACACAAAGGATTAGAAGTGAGAGAGAGGAGTAAAAAAATATAAAAGTATAGGAGAAAAGTATGGAATACATGTAGGAAGGAAGATTAGTGCAAACAAAATTATGTACATTGGCAAAGGACTAAAGAGAAGAAGTAAAAAGTGCCCGTCAACAATAGATCAAAAGACAAAGGGAGGAAAAAGGGATGAAAAATAAAGAGAAMGGAAGAGAAAGATAGGAATGAATTGAGAAGGAAGGAAGGAAGAAAGGGGGAAGGAAAGAAGAGAAGAAATAAAAAGAAAGTTTGAAATAAAAAGATACATCGTCAACAATTTATATTGCTTACCTATTTTATTTCTAACAATCCTAACATCTTTGAAGGCAACTTCTGCAGCATATAACTCTTCAAGAATCTACAGTTCGCAAAAATTCCATTTGAAAGAGTATCCCATACAAAAATCTTWTCCCCTAAGATAATCACAAGTAGACACAATGATAAAAAGCTTACCAAGCCATTTTACACTGTGAATGTATATCATACATGTAACATAGATAAACTACAATGTACAGTACAGCCAAATAAGTTGAAATAACTATTGACTAATATACTTGATTTACTAGACAAATAAGGAGTATTTACAAGAAGTTTAAACATCAGCTTACATCATCTTCTTTGATTTCATCRCGTAATCCACGCAGCATAATAACTGATGTGGGCTCGCCATCACTCTTGGATTCCCTCTCCTTTGAGTCCCTGTCTGATCTTCTGTCTTTGTCACGATCTCTTTCTTCTCTTTCTTTTTCTCTCTCCTCTCGTTTTCTTTCTCTGTGTTCTTCGTATCCATCATCCCAACGTGTGGTRCGTTCTCGGCGCCGACGTGGCTGAAAATAACAAACACTAATTAACATCTTGCATGTGAAATGACTAATTCATATCATTGCAATACCACGACCAACGACCTCCTGCCTACAACCTTTGGAAAATATTAGGTGTGAAAGAATACCAAAAAATGACAATTTTTAGATACATTTGAAAATAAAGAAARAGAGGAAAAGGTTCCCTAGGAAATTATGTTATAMAAGAAGAATTATGAATGGATTTAAAATGAAATGCTTGTCCTGCTGTATTTGTTAAATGCAATGAAAATTGCAACTGCAATGCTTGAAGATTACTTAAAATTATATATATTCCTTGTGCATTTTTTACATAACARCCAATGAATTGCCGTCATTATTGCCACAGCAAAAATCTTTTAGAATATAGTTCTGTCACAAGCTTAGAAACAAAAGCAACTTATATCAAGTGTTTCATGTAAACAACAGGAACAGCATTTCATGAATTCACTCAAGAATAAATCAAATTATTATCTCATCACTTCATCTTTAGAGAAGTCATCACGGCTACTTCTTGATCTATCCCAGTCTCGATCTCGGTCACGGTCACGATCTCTGTCCCGGTCCCGGTCTCGGTCTCTGTCACGATCATGGTCACGATCCCGATCACGGTCACGATCCCTATCAGAACGATCTCTCTCTCTGCGTCCATAGTTTTTGCGATCATCATCCAAATCTCTATCTCTGTATGACACACGATCATCCCTGTATCTATCCCTGTCAAGTTCATCTCTATAATCGTCCTCTCTGTCTCTTCGTCTATCTCTATCTCTCAAGCGATAGTCAGAGTCACGATCTCGATCATATTCRTAGTCACGACCTCTGCTTCTRTCTGAGTAAGAAYCCCTTTCATAACTGCCTCTGTCACCGTAGTTATCTCGTTCATAAAAATCTGCTGATGRAAGGATTCTTGGATCTGGYCCTCTAAATCGACTTAGTTCTCTGGCAATATCTTGCTCAAGCAAACCACCTCCATCACGATAATACATAGGTGGAATTGGTGGTGGAAGACCAAGGGATGGTGGTGGCAATCCTCTTCCAAGGTCCAAGTCTCTGTGATATCCCTGACCAACCATGTCAAAGGGAGGGATACCATATCCTCTGTTGTTCCTGAAGTTGCAAATCAAGGAAGTGTCAATATAAAGAATTTCAAAGCTTTGGGACCAAAAGAGAGACTTTGCAAAGACCCTGTTGTAAGATGGGAAATAAAATTGAAACGGAAGAAGATAAGTAGATAGTGAATGAAAAAGTTAATGTTGATGCAGTCTTGTTCCCAAAATGGGGAAATACTCCATTGTATTAAAATTAAGTGCCCTCCAAGTTGATATACCATATAATCTCTTAGGAAATATAGTGATACTGAKAGAAATCAAGTAACTTAAACAAGTTCATAAAAAGTGCATAAGAAATATAATTATTCTATGATAAAGATGTTATAGTTACGAGGAACACATTTTCACCGTCTACAGTGTACTCTAAGCAACTAAACAAGCATTGTTCTACGTTACAACTGTCGGACTACTGTCATCTTGCCTCATATCCATTTGTAGATCTTTAGGCTGCCATCAAATTACTTGGAACTTTCAATATCTCTCTGTAAATAGCAAGATAGCAAGTTCAATAAACATAAAGATCGTTTATCTCGTTAAAAACCAACAGCCTCGAGCCTAGAAGCGCGATATCGTATTTAATATTCACTGTGGAAGGAAAGAGTGAGAACGACAAACCGAAAAATATGGCGGTCGGAGGTGCTTCGWTCGTGCGGTTTGAGAAGAGATCTGATGGATTATAAAGCAACGAAAAGACCCTTTGTAATGAAAACCTGAAATAAAAACGACCTGACGATCTACAAAAAATAATACCATGACATGGACTCAAATACAAACCTTTTATTTTGAGAAAGCTGWGGTTGAGATCGACAACAACTGAACAACTGTGCTTCCGAACACGCGTGGCAGGTTACCAAGCTCTTAGGACAAGAGAATTGTGGGTAATGATAGAAAAGCGAAGAAAATGATCGCGAGAAAGATGAAAAAGGAAAAAAAAGAGAGAAAGAAATACCTAAAATTTAAAAATCTAAACGTAAATGATAACCATAATAAACGCTGGCTTTAGCTAGTACGCGAGCCAGATATTTTGCATATTTACGCTTGAAGCCAAATGCGAAGGGCCTACGAGKCGTTAAAGCAYTTAGAGACAATGCTTATAGCAATGTTTCAGCTGAATACCCAAACGTTAATAAACTAGTCTTCAACACACATTGTTAGCAAGGAAAGATTGGGAGTGAAGAAGTCATTTTAACTTTCTTTATTTTGCTTGAAAAAAGTTACAGTAGTTTATGAAGCGACCACCAGAGTTTTCTGCGGAGCCAGAATCTTGGCTGCCACATAGTTCAACATATCTTTTATTTGAAAATATCATGCAATGGGGATTGTTTCCGGTAAGTTATTCAAAAWTTTTTTTTGGTGTATTAATATTACGTTCTTTTAAAAATGCATTACATCGTAGACTGATTATTCAATCAGACTTACAAACCCAGCCTTTTGTCTACCATTCACACATCTAAACCCCCCTCGCTTTAGAAGTCGCGCGCGCTTCCGTGTCCCAGTTACGTCGAAGATTATGGCGTGTGCAATCCAAGCTATAAACAAACCTCTATTACCAAGACAACACTCAGTTTTGACAGAACGTTTGAATACGTGTATAAAACGCAAGAAAATCGTTATTGAAATCTTACAAAGTTTGAAGTTGAAAATGTCGACAGCAACAAGCGCGCAAAAGCTGTAAGTGGAATTCCATGATCACGTGATATTTTCCATGCAGATTTTTTATTGATGGTTAAGTGAATTGTTGTTAAAAAAACCGTGAACAGAGATGTCCTCCAAAAAGATGGCTTCAGGTTCCTYGAAGTTCTCTCTATAATAACGCATTTTTTTGTTACAAGAAATAGTTACAAGTTTTTTYCCGATAATGGGACAACTGTTATAAAAGCGCGCATTGATGATCAACGAAGAGTTGGAGAAGGGATTGGAGTTTCAAGTTTATCTCGCAAAAGAAGATGCGACGATGGATTGTCTAATGTGGAGACAACGCCCTTCAAGAAGGTCATCAAGCGTGGATCACAAGATGATGAGGTTAGATTTTTTCTAATGATCTTGAGCTCTTGTTCTTTCAACAATTAGAACTGAATTAAACCTTGAAAATCCGTTCAGGTAATTGAAAATATGTATGTTCTTCATATGCAATCGCTTGATATGGTGTAGTTTTTAATTCTTGAGGACGTGCCCTGAAGTATACGTTATCAATAAAAAAAATCATGAAATAAAAGTAAAACAGGTTCAACGCACTTTGACAAAACGTTCTGTACAAAATGTACACAAGTTCATATTACTTCATGTTTTTAAAACACTTCTTTCACATTAACAAATGCCTAACTATCCCAGCGAGGTCGGACATTATTTTTTTCCCGAATTTATTTGGCCAAGGGTCTTTCTCTCAGAATAACCTACTTCCTAGCCCTATAAGCCCTATAACTTTCCTTTATTTCTATATCATGTTTATCATAGTACCATTCGGTCCTCATATTCATACCTAAACATATATGAACTGACCATTTTTGACTGACAAAGCTGAATCATGATATTTTTGCTATAGTGTTACGCCATTTCCTCTGGTTACAAACCCTTGGCAGCACAGGAACAGGAAGRGACTTTGACAACAAATAGCGTCGAAGAACCACAAAAAAAAGGCACGCCAGCTCTTGGTAAAATAAAATATATATATAGATTTGATGTAGAAAGGCTCTATCGCACACCTTTTAGATTATACTGTCATCAAGAAATAATTTATATGTGATTATATATCTTCTTTCAATCGCTATAAGGTGCATGTGATCGATACTTTCTGCTCCTTGCATAGGTCTGGAAGTTTATTGCCATCTTTTATTTCGGTGAAATTATATATTTAGAACAGTCTTTGTCTTGACTGATCCAGGTTTAGCTGAAAATAAAGTTGTTTTGGGCCGCAAGAGAACCGTCAGGGATTTCTCTACAGAAGAGGCAACGCCCATTAAGAAAATCATCACGAGCAAGGATAATGATGATGATGAGGTTAGAGCATTGATCTGATTAGAATGATTACCGTAATACCT